TATCTGATAATAAAACAAGTTGATCGTTTTTTTAAATAATGCAATTAAAAGTTTTCTTTCAGTTTGAACAGACTTTTCATCAAATACAAGCTTATACCAGTTTGATAATAACATTGTATTTTAAAAATTGCATGCTCCAAAAAATTAAGGATGCCACTTGGACAATTGTTCATGTAAACTAGTAGCTGAATCAAGTGAGAATAACTGTCAAAGGTCAGTGACAGAATGCAATGCCAAACTAGGTGACAGTTAATGTCCAAATTTGTCTTTATATATTTTAGTGTATTTGTTGTCATGTTAAAACAAATACATATCAGATGTTTTCCAGTGACTTTCTTGAATGTTCTATATTCCTTGAACATTAATCAGTATTGATAACATGGTTAATGACTTGAATACTAGATACTTTCAATCTTGATATCGTCAATACTAGCCTGTATTCAGGCTTGAATGACCAGCTCCAGTCACATCTAAGAAGGCAGTGTAGGTTATAGTGCTTCATGCCCAGTGTCTCACACATTTATCAAACTAATGTAAATTTCATTAACATAGCAGCATTGTAAAGGAAACGGACTGCATACTGTTTTACTGCCTGCCCACATTGACATTTGTGTCGTCAATGTACAGAGCTGGTGTAGTGGGGCGCATGTTGATTGCACGTCAATTGCGGGACAAGTGATGTATTACATGTGCATTGTGCTAATCAGATTCAGCTTGGCCTCGCCGCCACTGCACTCATATTTCAGACTTAAGCTTTTCTCAGACAGATCACCTGCTAATTAACGACAGCAACATTGCCATCCAGGGAAACTTATGCACATTTCATTTGACACAGAAATAGTAAAATCAGAGAATCCTCAGTAATTTGAAGGTTTAGTTGTACCTTTGGGGTATTAAGGTAAAGCTATAGTTTATCACTAACTGAAATAGATGCAGCACTTGTTGACTACAGATGAAGAAGATGTACACTCTACTTTTGCTGCTGATGGATATGTATCTTATCCATTGCATCTAAAGATTTCATGATTACACAATGCCATTTAGAAAGTGGACAAATGTAACATATGTTATATTTGGGATTACACTTTCTTAGTGAAGTACAAATTCTAGTACTATTTTGGGTTGAGTTCCATCCGGGATTCGAACCCACACCCTCAGAGTCAGGCACCTATTCGCCAGCACACAAAGTCAGCCCCATAACCCGCTCAGCCACCATGACTTTGTTTGGGTTGAGTGCTCCGAATTCAACCCACACCTCAGAGTCAGGCACCTATTCGCCAGCACACAAAGTCAGCCCCATAACCCGGCTCAGCCACCATGACTTTGTGTGCTGGCTAATAGAATTTGTACTTTCGACTAAGAAAACCCAATCCCAAATATAACATATGTTAAATATTTCATAGATGCAAAATATTACAAATTGTGTCATTATCCATCTAACATGTGCTGCTGGATGACAGAAATAGCAGACGTGAACATGAAAAACGGGGTGCGTACAGTTAACATGTTAGTGTGTGGAAATGGGGGCTGCGCACCCCTGCAACCCTCCCCATCTGCATCTGACTGTGAACAGGATGATCAATACGTTATCATAAGTGAGTAAGTGAGTATAGTTTTACACCTCTTTTGAAATGGGCTTCACTCGTTGTACCCATGTGGGGGTTATCACAAGTGTATATCATAAAAATTCTACGATCATTCTAGTAATTTTCAACAGATTAAAAAGAAACAAGTTTAAAGAATGAAAATATTCACTTCTCCACGTCAAAGTCAGAAGAGCATTCAGTGTTTCTACGATGGCCTGTAAATTGCACTTATTGATCAAACAAACTTTAATCTGTCCACAACATACAAATGTAAGTCAGCGTTGTACGTCAGGACCAGATATTATCCTGTAATACCAGATTAATTTCGAACAAAACAGCTTGAAAAGTGTCATTTTCCAATCCAGCGTGTACATTATAAATGACTCATGGGATGGTTGCAGGTAAATATTAGTTTTATGCGTTATGTACCAGCAACGATTCTCGGCATGGAATTGTACGTGTTAACAATACGAAACCGTCCACTCCCTTTGTGATCAACGCCCAAGCATAGCGTACAACACCCCAGTGCATTGTCGCTTGTGTTAATGGCTCAACAGTGGCTTTCGACATGCGCCATTGCACACAACTACAACCAGGCTGGCTCTCTTTGTATTCAGCACTAAACTACACCCTGATGAATTTCAAACTGACCGAGCCGCAATTATGAAGGAAGAAAATCACATCATGTTAAATTTATGGTTAATAGAAAGGAATGCACAAGCTTATGAACTGTGAGACGAGGGATTTCAGCTGAAACTGGTAACAGACAAGGCTGAGTTCTTTTAACATAATATAATGTCGTAATGGACATAGAACATGACCAGAGATTAAGTTATCACAAATGCTTGACTAGACGTATCCACTTGAATTTACAGAGTACCCTCCTAACAGACAGATTTTTTTTTCCAATTTTCTTGAAATACTTGATATGGGGATTCTTAGCAGGAGGGATATCATTGTCAGATAACTTGATTGAGTTGTTCAGTTCCGGCCATTCTCTGTTATTGGGTACATTCTTTAATGCCAAAAACACTAATTTTGTTTTGGAATAAATAGAAAATTCTTTTAACTGTCATAATTTTCTATTGTAATGTTTTATTTTTGGGGAGATTTTTTTAATATTTCAGCTTCGATAGTAAAACAAAACAATTACCCAAACTGTTTGATTTTTTATAACGATTACAAACATAAAAAGAATTAATTTAATTGAATGGTATTATGAATAACTAATTTAAGAGTCAGACTGGTGCAAAGCAGAAACATTTCATTCCTTCTCACTGGAAGGTAAACCTTATCAACATATACAACACTTTTCTTCCTAATCTCCTCGCTGTTAGAAGAAGTAAACGTGTTGGAAATGTACACCGCACACTCTGTGATTGAAACTAGCGAGTATGCGGTGTTCATTTCACCTGCCACTGACTTGAAATAGACGTGCTATGAACAGGAGTGGAACTCTATCTGTGTATTAATCAAGGCAATGCAGGCTTGTTATGATGTTGAGTGATTAGCAGGGATCAGTTCCATATGAAATATACATGATAAATAGTCCATTCACACAGGACAGATTATAGAAGTGGCAAGGATTTGGACTGAAATTCTTTTGGTAGGATACATATTTTGTATGCTTCAGACCTGCTCCCAAGTGCATTCAACAGTGCCATACTTGACATAACTGGATCAAATACATATCAGGAGGACAAAAACACAATACAGATTAATTACAAAAATATTCTCTTACTTAAAAACTAAAAAACTAAATAAAATAGTAATATTCATACTATAAAATATCATCAATAAATACAATACATAAATTCAAGATATTTATCAGAAAAGTTAGATATACATTATTCCAAAATATAGATTCATTTTCCATGAAATGATATCTTTATTCACTCTATCCTGTTTATTCCAGAAAAGAAATTAAATCTACAATCACTGAATAGCACCATGGAAGCATATTTTCCTACAAATTATTAAATCCTGAATGCTAAAATTACTTAAAATCATTATCCGACATGCTGCATCATCTTTAAACACACAATGAACACCTAATAGATTTCAGGAGCAACACGACAGACTAAATTGGCGGTTTACCATTCTTTACAAAGGTCAGCAAGCTCCTGGGTCACAAGCCTCTAATGCGTAACATAAATACTCGTGACGCGTCTTTGTTTTCCTTTGGAGATTTCCTCTGTAATAGCCATGAATTCATCAGGAAGATAGTTTTCAATATCCTCTGCGTGGGGTGAAAGTGAAAATTATCTTTGAACAGTCTATCATTGGTAAAGATATTGTAGCGCTATTAACCAGTAATTATACATTTGGCTGACAAGTGACATATTTCATTCTTGTAATAGGTTGGATTAGCTGCACCATGACAGCTTCTGGGATGGGATAGGCAGAAACATTTCCATTTTATGACAAAGGATTTGGAGATAGAAATCTTAAAAATGGAATTTGATTGTACATTCTGATATCAAAACCATTAGCAGCAACATGCAAAATGGTTGAATAACATATATATACATGTTTAGGTAAAGATTTGGGTCCCGTTTCACAAAGCTCTCGTAAGCCTAAGATCTCGTAACTTTTCTCATAGCATTTGTACCTCCTATACTGTCACATAGAAAGTATGGATGCTTCGAGAAAGTTACGAGATCTAAGGCTTATGAGAGCTTGGTGAAACGGGGCCCAGATCTGTGAGATATTTTATTCTGTGTTTGGTGATTATTATTTTTATTTTTATCTAGAATGCCAGTTTCATAATCCCAGCTTTTTAGCTTACCAACAAGCTAATTTAGTTTTACTTTGTAAAAATACTAGTTTTTCTTTGGTTGTTTCCATTTTTTATTGATATTTGAAAATAATGAAAATGTCATGGAATGTAAAATCATAATTTAGGAAATTATCATAAATCTATCAGAAATATCATGAATTAAATGCCAAGCTTGATATAGCCTGCTATCGCATAATTCTTAACAAATCAGGTTAGTATCAGTTTGACTACTGAAGCTTCTGTCCTCTTGCTTCCATACTATCTGCATCCAGTTGCTTTGATACAAGAAAGAATGACATTGAGTCACAGTTGGCAGCATAAAACAATTATACCATAAAATAAGAACATTTCTCTGCCATATTTTCTCAAAAGTGAAAACAAAAGTTGGAGGAAGACTTTATATTGTTTTCCCAGAAAAATCCCACTAACAAGCACATCTGGGAATATATTGAACCCTAAACATATTTGCTAAGCATTTTATTTCATGGATGAAAATATACGCTTCATACGATCCAGTAAATTAGCAGAATTTTAAGTGATGTGTCCATGCCTGAGAGACATTTCCCATGTTTTTATTTGGATATCAATCTGGTAAAACTTTCCTCACATTAAGAAATGACAATATTGTAACTTACTTTGAAAGTAGCTTTTGGTTCTGAGGTAGCTAACGGCCAGTCTGAGTATAGAGAGTTTATCCAGCTTAGAAATGACGCTTTGCTCAAAGGGCAGGAGACTAGCAAGATGGTCTAACTCTGCGTTGAGGCGCTCCCGGTGCCGCTTACTGGGGTTACTTTTGGGAGGATCCTTTATAGGGGCCTTGGGGCTGCAACAAGAAACAACATGATGAGGAAGAGAAACCAGTACTGGAGAATCAACAACTTGTGACATGATGTGGTGGAAATATTCATAAAATAAATTACTGAATATTTGTAAAAGTTCAATTTCATAAAGCAAGCCTCGAACCTGTACACTACCATAGTCTAACACAGGCTGGTTCACTACCATAGTCTAACACAGGCTGGTTTACTACCATAGTCTAACACAGGCTGGTTTACTACCATAGTCTAACACAGGCTGGTTTACTACCATAGTCTAACACAGGCTGGTTCACTACCATAGTCCAACACAGGCTGGTTTACTACCATAGTCTAACACAGGCAGGTTTACTACCATAGTCTAACACAGGCTGGTTTACTACCATAGTCTAACACAGGCTGGTTCACTACCATAGTCCAACACAGGCTGGTTTACTACCATAGTCTAACACAGGCTGGCTTACTACCATAGTCTAACACAGGCTGGTTCACTACCATAGTCCAACACAGGCTGGTTCACTACCATAGTCTAACACAGGCTGGTTTACTACCATAGTCTAACACAGGCTGGTTTACTACCATAGTCTAACACAGGCTGGCTTACTACCATAGTCTAACACAGGCTGGTTCACTACCATAGTCCAACACAGGCTGGTTTACTACCATAGTCTAACACAGGCTGGTTTACTACCATAGTCTAACACAGGCTGGTTTACTACCAGAGTCTAACACAGGCTGGTTTACGACCAGTAAACCAGCCTGGTTTACTACCATAGTCTAACACAGGCTGGTTTACTACCATAGTCTAACACAGGCTGGTTTACTACCAGAGTTTAACACAGGCTGGTTTACTACCAGAGTCTAACACAGGCTGGTTTACGACCAGTCTAAACCAGCCAGGTTAACACAGGCTAGTTCACCATAGTCTAACACAGGCTGGTTTACTACCATAGTCTAACACAGGCTGGTTTACTTCCATAGTCTAACGCAGGCTGGCTTACTACCATAGTCTAACACAGGCTGGTTTACTACCATAGTCTAACACAGGCAGGTTTACTACCAGAGTCTAACACAGGCTAGTTCACTACCATAGTCTAACACAGGCTGGTTTACTACCATAGTCTAACACAGGCTGGTTTACTACCATAGTCTAACACAGCCTGGTTTACTACCATAGTCTAACACAGGCAGGTTTACTACCATAGTCTAACACAGGCAGGTTTACGACCAGTAAACCAGCCTGGTTTACTACCATAGTCTAACACAGGCTGGTTTACTACCATAGTCTAACACAGGCTGGTTTACTACCAGAGTCTAACACAGGCTGGTTTACTACCATAGTCTAACACAGGCTGGTTTACAACCATAGTCTAACACAGGCAGGTTCACTACCATAGTCTAACACAGGCTGGTTCACTACCATAGTCTAACACAGGCTGGTTTACTACCATAGTCTAACACAGGCTGGTTTACTACCATAGTCTAACACAGGCTGGTTTACTACCATAGTTTAACACAGGCAGGTTTACTATCATAGTCTAACACAGGCTGGTTCACTACCGTAGTCCAACACAGGCTGGTTTACTACCATAGTCTAACACAGGCTGGTTTACTACCATAGTCTAACACAGGCTGGTTCACTACCATACTAAGATGACTTTGAAGGACTGGCTTCTATGGTTATAACATAGAAATATGAATTTGGATACTTTATTTGTTGACATTTATTTTTCAAAATAGCAAACCTTCTCCCCAAAGTGAGTCCAAATTCTTCCATTGAAAGATAACTATTACATGCATCATATCTTTTAAAACCAGACGTTGACGACTGGCTTTCACTATGAACAATCAATTGCATGTAAACATCTAATAATGTTGCTAACATAAACATATTTCCATTTCAAGAACATTCATAAGACATACAAATCTTGTTTCACTTAAGTTCTCTCATGCAAGACTCCAGTTAGGACTGACACCAGTATCTTGAAGTAACACAGTGAAACACTTGCATACAGACTTGCAGCACAACAGAGTCACAGAAAACCATCTTAACGATATATTTCAAAGATGAAATGTGTCTGTGATGTCAAAATCAATGAGATTGTTTTATGAAAAGTTTACGAGGGGGTTTTATGTTCTCCTTTGATTCAGTCAATCCAAAGTGAGGCTCCTACAGCGTGTGGCGTACAACGGGAACAATATAGGTGTCACACTGTTCCCGTTAAAATCATGTCCAGGGCAGAGTCATTAGAGAGATCAAAGTCTGTGGGCTTTAATGGAATCGCGATTTTGATCATTTGTTTGTCTCAGTTCCGCCATGCATGTTAAAAGTGCCCCGGTCACTGAGAGCATACGCCATTGGGGATAGCGTAACAGTGTACAGCGTTTATGTCTTTGGCATTTGCCGCCACTATTGACGTGGTATTGTTTCAGTGACGTTGCCTCTAGCAGCTAACATGGTTTAATGTTTCATTAGCACGTAGAGAAATCACGAACTCGGAACACACAGAGCAAAATTTGCCTCTGAACATTGCTCATTGCTACAACAGTCCTAATAGTCAAGTTGCAAGGGCAGCTGTCATAGTTCTGTAACTATATTCAACACAGACCTTTTTAATTGGGAATTAGATTGTGAATGGCTTAATTTGTAAGAGATTCATGTATTGTATCTCCAACCACTACCCACTCCTCCGGGAGATGGTACGATTAGGATCTCATTATGAACGTCCGAGCATTGTCATTTTGCATAATGCATCTGTCGCTAAGCTTTGGAGGGTTTCTTTATTTAAGGGCGCAACAATCGTGCACAGATGGGACCCAATAGAGCATTCTGGGAGTTCCGTAACTTCGAGTGCCCATCGCGTCATCCATCAACATTTTGATAAACTCCCAGCATGTGACTTTTACGGCAATTAAGCTAGAGGAGCTCCCAGTGTCTGGGGCAGCGACTCTGTGGCCATGATGTAACGCATCATTTACTCAAGATACGGAGTTAACAAACTACTGGTTAGCTGACAGTGCTTGATTATACGCTGGTTAGGTTTATCTCTTTACAATTACTGCACACAAGCCAGGGCTGGCAGTACAATATGTGACTACAAAACTGGAATTAAATGATTTGAACTCTGGACAAAGGGACAGTTGTCGTTGAGTAACTCTTTGTGGTATCATTTTTATCCATAAAAAACTTCTACCTATAAATTAGGCTTCCTCAGATGAAATCTGATGGGCTTACGATTGAGAAAACTGTCATTTACTCTTTTCATAAAGAGAGGGATTTTTTTATACCATGTGAACTTGGATTTGTCAGTACACTCTCTGGCGCTTGATCTTTTTAAAGATCCTTAAACATTATTATTTTGAATCTGTAAAAAAATCTGTCCTTGGGGCCTTTTCTCTTTTGTTCTAAAAACACTTTCATCCTTTATAAAACAATATTACCAATATATGTAATCAGGTGTTCATGATCACATACAAATCTGAAAAAAACACTTAATCCTACAACGACAGTACTGTATAAAGTAGTGATATCAATACAAATTAATACAATACCTTACCCAGATGGCATACTTTCAGTAAAAAAGCACCTTCAAATGTTCAAATAGCATCTTTTGTAGAGATACAATTATATTTGTATGAAATATTAAATTGTCACATGATACAACACCCTACAACCACAGACTGAACGGATGGAGATTGTTTCAAGTGCTCTCCTTCAGTACTGCTAACAACGGCTCCTCTAAACACACAACCCCCCGAGAGAAAGCAAACAACAATGTTAAGTGTTGTTGGGGAAGACAAGAGATTTAGCCTGGCTGTGCTAACACTAGATGGCACTGAAGTGGGCTTAACGTCAATCTCACTTAAGGGTACAGAGGAGACAACTCTAGCTTCAAAGAAACAGTATCATTTTTTTTGTAAAATATGAATGTAAAACACAAGATAAAATGAAAAATTCTCCACGTATTTCTCAGAATAAGTGGCAACTGTCATACATTCAATAAATTAAAATATAGAGCTCAATGTATTGTGTTACAACCTAAGCTATAAAGCACGATGCAAGTAAGAATAATCATAAAAAGAAAAATGCTATGTATTCAAAAAATGTTGGAAATCTATAAAATCTCTTATGTTTAAAAACATTTCTGAAGTAAGATGTTGTTTGTCACAGTATTGAATGTAGAGAGCGATAAAGCTGAGAGTTAAGAGTTTGAAATAAAAATATTGTTCCAATGTAATGAAATTCCAAACACATTTGGGTTCTGCCCACCACGAGGATGGATTCATGTACAAGACATCATTTAACTGTGTCTCCTAACCATCGCATCTCTCCAACAACTTCCGGCACCAGTCAGCAAGGACTATAATGGTCAGCAAGACTTCAGCACCAAAAGGCAAACTTGTAGGTTAACTATTATTAGTTCTTTTATGACATGGGCTGTTAATGGTAGCAGCAGGACAAGGGTGATCCATAGAAAGCCATCAGCAGGCTGGCCTGCCATCATTTCCTGTAGGGGTCATGCTGGGAGACATGGCCAAATAGTTATTAACAAAAATCATTTTTTTGGGATTACTGTATAATTATATCAAATATAAAGTATTCATTTCAGATTTGGATGGAATGGTGAGAATGCTGCATCCACAGAAATTGGAAGCTTGTGTATGAACATTCTGTCACACGGAACATCTCATGTCATTCTTTAGACAGGTTCTGCTCCATGTCACTTTCAACAACATAGAGCTATTGGGCACAAACTACAACAATTGTTTTCATTTGTTGCCTGACTGCAAATAGATGTTTCTGATAGGATGTGTCGTATGTGGATTGACAAGGGTCTATTTTACACAGTGATCATTTGTTTTAATCATTTGTAGTGTGCATATACCATGAACAACTGTTCAGAAACATCTTCAGCAAACATGATATATTTATTGATGATACATGTTCATATACTGAAGGTATGGTAGAACTTTCTATTCTTTACATATCAATCTCTGACAAACAACA